TTTCACTAATGAGGATAGCTTCAAGTTGTCTCCACTTGCCTATGAAAGCCTCAAGATCACCCTTTTTTATAATTAAGTGATATTCCATTGTATGAAAATACTACATCTTTTTCATCCACTCTGCAGTTGGTGGGCATCTTCGTTGTTTCCAAGATTTACCTATTACAAATTGTACTGCTATGAAGATGGGTGAACATATATCACTGTGATATAACCTTTTCAGTTTTTCGGGGAAAATTTCCAGGAGGGGAATAGCTGACCCAGTAATAAATCCTCCTGTTATCATCCCAAAACAATTGATGATACTGTATGACAACAATGTAGGAGAGTTCCTTTTTCCCCACAGCCTCTCCAACATTTTTTGATAGCTTTCTTGATCCTGGCCATTCTTTCTGGAGTGAGATGGTGTTGTTTTAATTGTAAGTGGAGACATAAGAACAAAAGCTTGATGGGGCTTAAAAACAAGCTGATATAAAGTCAGCACTAGCTATTATAACATCTTGTTTTCTTCAAAATAACTGTTAATACCATCACAGACAATAAATCAAACACCCCAGAATAAAACCATCCCAATTAATGAATGAAAACATTATAAGTATTCAAAATAATATAATGGGGAATCATGATTACCACATGTTTTTATATATTCTTACACTAGGGAAACTATTCGGTATTTATATATGTGAGTTTGATTTATTTTGCTTATGAGTATGGTCTCAAGTTGCATCCATTAATTTATAAATATCTCAGTGTGATCATTCTTTATAGCTGAGTAGTACTCCATTGTACAAAATACCACAACTATTTTATCCATTCCTCAGTTGATGGACACTTTGGTTGTTTCCAAGATCTGGCTATTACAAATTGTGCTGCTATGAACATGGGTGCACATATATCACTGTGGTATGATGTATTCAGTTCTTCTGGCAATATGCCTAGAAGCTGAATAGCTGGATTGAATGAGACTTATGTTTTAATTTGCATTTCTCTAAGGACTAATGATAATGAACATTTTTTTCATGTATTTATTTGCCATTTGTATTTCTTCATCTGAGAACTGTGTATTCATCTCAGGTGCCCATTTTTGGATTGGATCTTTGAATTTGGAGGTCTGATTTTTTTAAATTCCTTATATGTTTTAGACAGAAGTCCTTTGTCTGAGGGAGAGTTCACTAAGATTTTTTTTCCAGTTTGTGGGTTTTCTTATCACTGTGCTGGAGATTTATTTTGATATGCAGAAACTTTAATAAAGACATAATCCCAGTTATTGATTCTGGGAAGTATTTCCCACGTGGTTTGATTCCTGTTCATGCATTCTCTAAGTACCACTATGTCACCAAATTTTTATCTAATTTATCTTCCAACAGATTTAGTGTTTCTGTTTTAATATTCAGATATTTGGTCCATTTAGATTTTAGTTTAGTATATGGTAATAGGCATGGGTCGAGTTTTAGTTTTCAGCATGTGGAGAGCCAGTTTCCTCAGCACCTTTCATTAAAGAGACTATCATTTTTCCAGTGAACATATTTGAACCCTTTATCAAAGATAAGGTGGTTGAGTGTGTTTGTAGTTGTGGTTCTATCTTCTAATGTGTTCCATTGATGTTCAGATCCATTTTATTCCAGGGCCATGTTGATTTTACTACAGTAGCTTTGTCATATAACTTCAAGTCAGGGATTGTGATGTCTCCTGCCGTGCCTTTGCTACTTAGAATTACCTTTGCTATTCTAAGTCTATTCTGGTTCCAGATGAATTTTAGGAGTGATTTCTTTGGATCTGTAAGGTATGTTGATGGTGTTTTCATTGGGATTACATTGAATCTGTATAATGGTTTTGGGAGAATGGCCATTTTTGCCACATTTATTCTTCCTATCTATGAACAAGGGATGTCTTTCCATTTTCTGAGATAGTCTTTAATTTCTTTTTTCAGGGTATTATAATTTTCCTTGTGTAGATCTTTTACTTCTTTTGTGAGATTAATTACTAAATATTTCATTTTTTGGATGCTCATGTGAAGGGTGTGACTTCTCTTATTTCTCTCTGAGTGATTTTGTTGTTGTGGTGATAAGGGATGTCCTTGTCTTGTGCCTGATTTTAAAGTAAAGGCCTTCAATTTTTGGCCATTTAGTATGATACTGGCTGTGGACTATTTCTAGGAATCTGTCATTTCTTCTGTATTATTGATCCTATGAGAGTAGAAGTGTTTGAAAAAGTGTTGATGATCTGTATTTCCACAGATTCTGTAGTGATTTCACCTTTTTCATTCCTTTGTGCATGAATTTGAGCTTTTTCTTTCCTTTTTTCAATAATGTTGGCTAGGAGCTTATCAATTTTATTTATTCTTTTAAAGAACCAACTCTTTGATTAATTGATTCTTTGGATTGTTTTCTTAGTCTCTGTTGCATTAATTTCTGCTGTGATTTTTATAATTTCCTCTCTTATTTTGGCTTTGGGCTTGATTTGCTCTTCTTTTACTAGATGTTTGAGGTGCAGCATCAAGTTGTTTATTTGAGTTCATTCTGTTTTTCTGATGTGCAAACTCACTGCAATAAATTTTCCTCTGAGGACTGCTTTCATTGCATCTCATAGATTCTGCTAAGTTGTATTTGTATTTTCATTTGCTTGTAGGTATGGTTTAATTTCTTTTTTAATTTACACTGTGACACACTGATTGCTCAAGAGTGTATTATTTAATTTCCACGTGTTTTGGGTTTTTGAAGTATCTTTTATCATTTATTTCTAGCTTCATGGCACTATGATCTGATAACATGCATAATTTCAACTGTTACATTTGTTTGAATATGTTCTGTGGGCTAGTATATGTTCTATTTTAGAGAATGTCCCATGTGAGAAGAATGTGTGTTCTGACCTTGTTGGATAGAACACTCTGTATATGGCTATCAAGTCCATTTGTTCACTGGTGTGATTCAGTTCTGTTATTTCTTTGATGATTTTCTGTCTGGTTTGATCTGTCCCTTGGTGTCAATGGTGTGTTAAGGTCTCCTGTTATTGACAATTTGATCTTTCACTTCTATTAATACTTGCTTTATATAACTGGGTGCTCTGGAATTTGGTGCATATATATTTAAGATTGTTATCTCTTCCTCCTGATGTTTTTCCTTAACTAGTATGTAATGACCTTCTTTATCTCTTCTGATCATTATTGGTTTGAAGTTCACATTGTCTGCGAACAGAATAGCTACCCCCACTTTTCTTTAGGTTCCTGTTGCCTAAAGTATTTTTTTCCATCTTTTGACTTTCAACCTGTGAGTATCCTTTTGGGTTAGATGGTGCATAGTATATGGTTGGATGTTGTTTCTTGATCCATTCTGCCAGTCTTTTCTGTTAATTGGTGCGCTGAGACCATTTACATTAACGGTTGTAACTTATATATTGGTTTATTGTTGACATGTTATCTTTCTGTTGTTGCATCTTTATCTTTATGTTCTGTTTAATTATCTGCTTTGCTTAGTGGTTTTTTCCCAAGTGTATGTAAACTGTCTTTTAGTATTCTTTGTAGGATTGTCTTGGTGATCATGAAGTTCTTCAGCTGTTCTTTGACATGGAAGTATCTTTTTCCTGCATCCATTTTGAAGGACAGTTTTGCAGGGTACATCAGTCTATGTTGGAAATCATTTTCCTTTATGATCTGAAATACTTCACTCCATGCTCTTCTTGACTTTATTGTTTGTTCTAAGAAGTCTGCTGTGATTCTGATAGGTATTCCTTTATAGGTGATCTGCCTTTTCTCTCTGACAGCTTTTAATATTCTATTCTTATGTTGTATTTCTGGGATGGTGATTATTATATGTCTGGGTATAGTTTTATTTTGCTTATAGCATTTTGGAGTTCTATACACTTCACTGATCCTGATGTCAGTTTCCATTCTCATGTTTGGGAATTTTCAGCTATTACTTCTGTAAATAGCCTCTTGATATCATTTGTGTTGTCCCCTTCTTTTTCCTTTATCCCTATCAATCTTATGTTGTTTTTCTTTGCATCATCTTGCAGCTGTTGAATTATTATTTCCTGATTCCTTGTTATTTTTAAAAGATCTCTCCTTTCCTATTCTCTAGCTGCAATCTTCAAGGTCTGAAATTCTATCTTCACTTTTGTTGAGGTGGTTTTTACAACTTTCAATGGAATTTTTGATTTCCTGTGTATTTCTTTGCATCTGCTTTAGGTATTCCATTTGTTTCTTATATTGTTCATCCAGGGATCCTATCTTTTTGTATAGTTCCTCCAATTTTTAAACTGTGTCTTCTTTAGACATGTTCAGCATCAAATAGCATCATTTCTTCTTTTATCTGGGATATTATTTCTAGTTTGAATTCCTTTAAAGCTTCCCATAGTTTTTTCTTTATTTCAGTTGCTATTATTTCAGGTATATGGCATATAATTTCTTCTATGTACATAGCTCCTAAGGTTTCTTGGGATGGGCTGGACGTTTGAGATTGCATTTTGGTCATTTGTTTTGTTATTTTCCTATATTTCTGTGTTTCAAGTGTTATTCCAAGGCTTCCCGTGGATCTGTTGGATATACTCTTCTATGCCCTCAGCTCCTGGGACTCTGGCCATCCAGTTCCCCAGATTGAGAGAGGGTCACTGGGATTGGGACAGTCAAGCCCAAGTCCTGTGGGGCTGGTTGAGTGTGGCAGTAAGCTCTGAAGTTCCTTGGCTGATGGGAGCAATGATCCCAAACTCCTGGGCTCGGGATGGTGCAGGGACAATCACCCCAGGCCACTGAGTCTCTAGAATTGAGGATGCATGCAGGCCCAAATTCCCAGAGCCAGTTGAGCACAGCAAGAAACTAGGAAATTGGTACAGGCAGGCCCAAGTCTTGCTCAGCCTGTCCAGTGCCACAGAAGCCATGAAATTCCCTGGGCTTTGGGAGCAAGATCTTAAACTCCCAGGGCTTGGTATGGTGTGGGGACACTCACCCCTAGCTGCCCAGTCTCCATAATTGAGAGTGCAAACCTGTTTTGACAACTTTTGGTGGAAAAAGCATGGAATGCTTCATGAATTTACACATCATCCTTGCACAGGGGCCATGCTAATCTCTGTATCATTCCAATTTTAGTATATACGCTGCCAAAGTGAGCACATGCTATTGATTGTTGGCTTTGTGTCCAGTTACAATACTGAATTTATTTATTATACCTAGGAGTCTTTTTCATGGAGTTTTGGGGGTCTTCTATGTAGAGTATCATGCTGTCTTCAATTAATGAAAACTTAAATTCTTTTCCTATCTTTACTCTTTTTATTTCTCTCTCTTGTCTAATAGCTCTGGCTAGTATTTCCAGAACTATATTGAATAGGCATGGTGATAATGTACATCTTTGTCTTATTCCTGATTTTAGGGTAAAGGCTTTCAGTTTTTGGTCGTTTAATATAGTGTTGGCTGTTGGTTTGTCATAGATGGCTTTTATCAGATGGAGGAAAAGACAATGTATTCCAATTTTCTGTAAGTTTCTTACCATGAATGAGTGTTGGACCTTATCAAAAGCTTTTCTGCCTGTATAGAAATGACCATGTGATTCTTATTTTTGGCTCTATTGATACGGTGGTTACATTTATTGATTTGCATATGTTGCATTCTTGGGATGAATCCACTTGGTCATGGTGTACAACCTTTTTGATGATTTGCTGCATTCTGTTTGATTATTTCATCGAGAAGTTTTGCATCTATGTTCTTTACATAGTTGCCCTGTAGTTCTCTTATTTTGTTGTGTTGTTCTCTGGTTTTGGTATTAGGGTAATACTTGCTTCCAGGAATGAGTTGGGAAGAATTGCTTCCCTTTCAATTTCATAGATGAGTTTGAGAAATGTTGGCATTAACTTTTCTTTGAATGTCTTGTAAGATTCTGCATTGAATCCCTCTGGACCTGGGCTTTTCTTTGTTGGTAAGGTTGGAATTTTCAATTTTGGGTTATTTAGCAGCTTTACATCTTCTTGATCCACCTTTGGTAATTCATATGTTTCCAGGAATGTGTCTATTTTTTCTGAGAAATAGAAATAGGTATTAAAGATCTTCTGTATTTCCACAGGATCTGTAGTGATTTCACCCTTTTCATTCCATATTGCATGAATATGAGTTTTTTGTTTTCTTTTTAAAATAAGATTGGCTAGAGGCTTATAAATTCTTTCAAAGAACCAACTCTGATTCATTGATTCTTTGGATTGTTTTCTTAGTCTCTATTACATTGATTTCTGCTCTGGTCATTATATAATTTCCTCCCTTCTTTTGGTTTTGGGCTTGACTTGCTCTTCTTTTTCTAGATGTTTGAGGTGTAACATCAGGTTGTTTCTTTGTGTTTGTTCTGTTTTCCTGACATAGGAATTCACCACAACATATTTTCCTCAGAGGACTGCTTTCACTGCATCCCACAGGTTCAGGTAAATTGTATTTATATTTTCATTTGCTTGTAGATACAGTTTAATATCTTCTTAGTTTCCTCTGTGACCCACTGATTTGCTCAGTAGTTTATTATTCAGTTTCCATGTTTTTGCTGTTTCTTCTGTCATTAATTTCTAATTTCATGGCACTATGATCCGATAACATGCATGGAATAATTTCAGTTCTCTTGCATTTAGTTAAGCATGTTCTGTGGGCTAGTATATGGTCTATTTTAGAGAATATCCCATTTGCCGCTAAGAGGAATGTTTATTCTGATGTTGGGTGGAACACTTAGTATACATCTACCAAGTCCATTTGTGCATGGGTGTGATTCAGTTCTGTTATTTCTTCGCTGATTTTCCGTCAAGTGATCCTTCTCTTTGTGTCAATGGGGTATTAAAGTCTCCTATTATAATTGTGCTATTGCTTGTTTGTTTTTTCATTTCTACTAACATTTGTTTTGTAAAGCTGAGTGCTCCTGGATTTTGTGCATATGTATTTAAGATTGCTATGTGTTTCTCTTGAATTTTTCTCCTAACTAGTGTGTAGTGACCTTTTTTATAGCTTTTGATCATGCTTGGTTTGAAGTTCATGTTGTGTGCAAACAGAATGGTCACCCTTGTTTTGTTTTGGGTTCCTGTTGTATGGAGTATTGTTTTCCATCCTTTGACTTTCAGTCTATGAGTTTTCTTTTGGATTATATGTGTTTCTTATAGACAGCATATCATTGGATATTGTTTCTTGATCCATTCTGCCAGTCTGTTTCTTTTAATGGTGAATTGAGGCCATTTACATTATAGTTATTACTGAAATATAGTGGTTTTTAAAATGAATTTTATGCAACTTTATTTAAAAAATCTTGTTCATGTACAGACATTGGCACATTTTAGAAACAAACTACGTAAATAGATCTTTCCTATAGTTTAGGAAAGTGGAATGTTAGAAGTCAACAAAATGGTAAACTTAAAGTGCTAAAACAGAAGGTACTTTCCAAAATCTGTTCACTAAAACAGTTACATATCCCCATTTACATCCTTCACTTTTTTAGTGGCAGGGAATGTCTCCTTGGATTGACACATATGAAGGAATAGTTTCCCTACAGTAAAAGTAAAAGGCAAATAAGTGATTAGCACTTGGCCAACTTTTTTGTTTTTGATGATCTAAAGTCTACTTTAACCTTCATCTCATGAGAAGAAACAGAAGGATTCAGAATTATAAGCTGAAAGCCCAGAATTAATTACTTGGGCATTGAGAGAGTTTGTAGATATTAACATCTCTTTTCTTCCAGGAAGTGAGCCCTTTGTTTTTATGGAATAAGTTTTGTGAAGTGAAAAAGAAAGTATTAGAGAAGCAGTGAACTAAAAAGATGTCACATTCATTAGTTTTAAATACTTAAGTTATTAAGAAATCTAAAATGTTACACAGTTAGAGGTAGATAATCGTCCCAAGTTTCCATGGAATCTAATAATTTACTATCTCGACATCAAACAGATCACAAACTCCTTAATTATCATCTAAACTAAAGTTGTAGTCATTTGCAGGGGTAGAAGAAAGTTGTAAGAGTGAGAACACATCAGAAGACATTAACTCATCAGTAGTATATCCACTAATAGATCCTGTGGATCCTATTTCTGTGACTGGTATCTGCTGAAGGTTCTGGCTTCTTTCAGACACATGTTGCTCAGTTGGGTTCTGAGGCAGCATGCTGAGTTTCTATGGAGTCACTGGAGTTGAAGACTGAGAAGAAGGTATTTGTGGAATAGGTACCTCCAACTATGTACCAGAAGATGCCTGAATGGACAAAAGGGTGTCATCATTAAAGCAATTGCAGACATTTTCATGAGTTACATAGGAAAATCTATTTTAACTGAGTCATCCATCAGATTTTTGATGCTTTGCTGTAGCCACAATTTCTGCTGATGAAGTTCTCTCTCCTTCAGTTCTAGATCTTCAATTACAGCTTTAAGAAATCTTATTATATCTATAACTTCTTTAGTATTACGGCCAGTACCTACACTTTTCCATTGGATACTATTTTTTTACTTTTTTTCAATCAAGTCAATTCCTTCTAAGACATTGGTGATATCATAAATTCTTCTTTTTTGTGTAACAGCCAGAGTATCTGCAACTGTCCTTGGCCTCCTGCAGCAGCAACATGGACTTGGTGTTGAGCAGCCCCAGGCTGTTCTCAAGCCTGCTGCTGCCGCCCCTGATGCCCCTGATACCCCTGAGTGGGAGGAGCGGGGGCAGTGTCTGTCCCTGCAGGGACTGCACCTGGGCCCACTGGCCTTGCCCTTGCGGCGCTGGCTGCATCACGTGCACAGGCTCTGCCGCTGCCATTGTGTCCCGGACCTGGTGGTCAGGACCGCACCCTCTGCTTGCTGCCCCGTCAGCTGGCCCTCGGCCACCTGCTGGGTCACAGCGTCCTGCCTCACGGGGAGCTGCACAGAGGTGGCGGGTCCTGCATACAGCAGGTGTGCCGCCATTGGGGACTCAGGATGCATGGAGGCGACTTGGCGTGCCGGGGCCTCTACCCTCTCCCAAGCCCAGGGATGCAGGAAGTAAGCCCACGGCCTGAGGGGAGGGACAGTGGGAAGGAGGAGATTATAGTGGTTTATTTTTTGACATGTTATCTTTTTGTTGTTGATTCTTTACTTTTCCACTCTGTTTAATTGTTTTCCTGTTTAGTGTTTTTTTTTTTTCTTGTGTCAATCTAGAATGTCTTTCAGTCTTCTTTGCAGGGTTGGTTTGGTGATCATGAAATTCTTCAGCTGTTCTTTGTTGTTGTGGAAATATTTTATTTCTCCATTGATTTTGAAGGATAGTTTTGCAGGGTTCATCAGCCTGGGGTGGAAGTCGTCTTCCTTTTGGATCTGAAATACCTTACTCCATGCTCTTCTTGACTTTATTGTTTGTGTTGAGAAGTCTGCTGTGATTGTGATAGGTTTTCTTTTATAGATGATATGCCTTTTCTTTCTAACAGCTTTTATATTCTGTTCTTATGTTGGATTTCTGGGATGGTGACTATTATATGTCTGAGGGTAGTTTTATTTTGGTTATGGCTATTTGGAGTTCTATATGCTTCACTGATCCTGATGTCAGTTTCCATTCTTATGTTTGGAAAATTTTCAGCTATTACTTCTGTAAATAGCCTCTTGATATCATTTATGTTGTCCCCTTCTTTTTCATTTATCCCTTATCAATCTTATGTTATTTTTCTTTGCATCATCTTGCAGCTGTTGAATTGTTATTTCCTGATTCCTTGTTATTTTAAAAAGATCTTTCCTTTCCTGTTCAGTAGCTGCAAAGTTGTCTTCAAGGTCTAAAAGTCTATCTTCATTTTCATTGAGGAAGTTTGGCCAACTTTCAATGGAATTTTTGATTTCCTGTATATCTCTTTGTATCTGCTTCATGCACTCTGTTTTGTATATTGTTCATTCAAGGTTTCCATACTTTTTTGTTGTTCCTCTAATTTTTTAACTATGTCCTCTTTTGATGTATTAGCATTACTTTCATTACATTTATCATTTCTTCTTTTACCTGGGAGATTATTTCTGATCTGAGATCTTTTACAGTTTCCTGGAGTTGTTTATTTACTTCAATTGCTGTCTTTTAAGGAATTTCAGGTCTATGGCCTACATTTCTTCTACGTCCATGTCTCCTAGTCTTGGGATGGGCTGGAGATTTGAGATTACATTTTGCTCTTTTGTTTTGTCATCCTCCTGTATTCCCTTAGGGAAGACAAATGCAACGTCTCAGTTGTTTCTTGGGCTGAGAATATCTATTCCCATTGAAGGGTGTTTCCCCAATTGAGTGGAGGTCCTTAGACAGATTTTACCAGATGGCTCCAGCCACTTGGGATTGCTGGGTGAGGCCTTACCTGTCTAGGAGTGAGGCACCAAAGCTTCCCCATGGGCTGGAGGGCACTGCACACACTTTTGACTTGCCAGGCCGAAAGCTGGCATCTGCAGTCAGCTCGAGAGTCAGTGGACAGGACCAAGATAGGCCTAGAGGTACCTCCCAATGTGTCCTCCAGTGATGTGGGAGGAGAGGCGGGGTCTTACCAGCCTCCCAGCAAAGTACCAAAGCTTCTGTGGGCTAGACATTGCTTTTTGCACTTTCCAGCATGCCAGGCAGATATGGGCAGCTTGGCAGTCACTGAGTGGGCCCAGATAGGCAAAGAGGGACTTCCCAGTGTGTTCTCTGGTGATGTATGAAGCAGAGTGGACTCTTACCAGTCTCACAGTAAAGCACCAAACTTCTGTGAGTTGGATAGCACTCAGTAGCCATTGTTGATTTCCTATTGTTTTCAAGTTCCTAAATGCTTTCATTCTTTTGTTTTGATTGATTTTATTCTATTTTGTTTGGTTTGATTTTACTGTATATGAAAATATGAACGACTATTTCAAAGAACACAAGAGACATTATTGTAGCCATTGTTGATTGCTTGTTGTCTTGTTTTTTTTTTTTTTTTGTCTTTTTCTTTTTTATTGTTACCGGGGATTGAACTCACAACTGCCTGCTTGCAAGGCAGGTCCTTATGCCGCTGAGCTAAATCCCCAGCCTCTTGTTGTCTTGTTTTGAAGTTATATAATATTTTCATTCTTTTGTTTTGATTGGTTTTATTCTGTTTTTTTTTTGTTTGGTTTTATTGTGTGAGATGGCATGTGCCACTATTTTGAAGAAAATGAGCCATTTTTGATTTCCTGTTGTCTTGTTTTGAAGTCCTGTGTTGCTTGCATTGTTCTACTCTGAGTTGTTTTGTTTTATTCTCTTTAAAATAAAAAATGAATAAAGAAGATAAACATGAGGCACTGCTTAGCATATGAGTGCAAATGGAGAACCCAATATTAAGTGAAATAAGTCAGACATATAACTTAAATATCACTATACATATTTCTTTACATGAAATACTCAAAAATCTATATACAAATAAAGTGCAAAATAGAAGACAGATAAATAGAAAGTAGGAAAATCAAATAATTTCCTAACTTAACTATTCCATTTTCTCAAAAATAAATGTGGCAATTTGTTTCATTTATACTAGTAGTTTCTTGTAGTTGATTAGTAGAAAGTTTTGTGCTATTATTTATATCTTCTATGTAAGATTCTTTTTTGTCCACATTTTGTACTCTACTTTTAAGATTAGGGTACACTGTGTACTACCGTTGTTATCTTCTTATTACTTAGTTATGAAATTTTGTTTTTTCATAAATAGACAATACATATATGCAAATAAAAAATGAAATAACTGAGGTGTAAAAAGAGCCAAAACTGAAATGCAATTGATTTTTGTATATTGGCATATATTCCACTTTCATTGGAAACCTTCCCCTCTAACTTGAGTAAAGCATCCTTCTATCACTTTGGGTGCCCTGTGCTCACTGTTGTGTCTTCGGTGAGTGATGTGATGGTACCCTCACCCCATCAGTGCTCCTCAGTCTGGTTTACATAACCATCTGATACCTCCAGGTCTGTGAGCACTGGCAGTCATCACAGGACCATCCCTGGGTGGTCCCAAGCCCAAGGTCAGACTTCAAGTTCTCATCTTGAAAGACATTGGTCAGGGGAATGTTAAACATGCCTCTGTGAATGATAGCAAGTTCCTTTTCATTCTCCTGAGATTTTTTTCTCATTGTGAGGAGTTGGACTTGTGTGCTGAAAGGTTTGCCTGTATGCAGGGATGTAATAACATTGATGCAATCTATTAATGTGTCTGTGTTGATTGAATTTTTACATTTTAAGTTGCTCTATCCTTCCTAACCCAACCAAAGCCAACCCATACCAAACAAACAAGCAAATAATCAGTCAATCCTAGTGTGGTGATGATATGTTCATATCCACTAAGTCCCTGACTTATGAACATTCACGTGGAGAGCTTTCCCAGGTGTACTGTGGACACACTTTATCAGATTACAAAGAATCCAATTTACAGCATTCTCCCTGAACAGAACTCATTTGTAAGTTGAGGACTCTGGATCTCTGAATCTTTAAATTTATTGTGCAGCACTGCTGTTTGAACTAAGGGAATAACACTGAATGACATTCCTAGGACTTTTATTCTGAGACATCTCATTATGGAGCCCTGGCTGGCATCAGACTTGGGATCCTCTTGCTTCTGCCTCCCTAATTGCTAGAGTTTGAATTATTTTTTAGGAAGTCACATGCACGTGCATAGAATTTACGACTCCTGTGACCCAACCCAGTTTAGTGGATTCCTTGTGGAGGTTTGGCATGAAGGTTTTTCTGGCTGGATGAAATGTGTAGGACTGTGTTTTCTCTTTTTTGTATCTGAAGAAGAGTCTATAAGCCTGGAGTTTATGTCTGTGTCATAACTGTAACGAGTAAGAAATCTCCAGTGAAGCTTTCTGAACTAGAACTTTCACTGGGAAATTCTAAAAATACAGTCAAAGGGTTTAATGTATGTGAAAGGATTCAGATTTTCAATTTATGTTTTTCCACATAGTACATTGTGTACTTGGAGATCCTGCACATCTTTTAATAGGTTAAAATTTTTTTCATAATCTTTAGCTATTATTTTTTTAAAAGAAGAGTATCTGTCACACTATCTGCTATTTCTTCATGTTGAAATCTGTGCCAACTCCCCCTAGGAAGATCTAATTTGTTACCTTTACCTTCACTCAGAGGAATTCTACATTCTTTTTCTAAAAGTTTTGCACCATAGCTGGATTTGTTGAGTTTTAGAGAACATTTTCTGATATATTCATCCATGGTTCTTAACTTTTTATTTCCTATGCATGTAGTGTCCTGCTGTCATCAGCTGATCATTTCACATACTCTCTCCCATCGTTTCTTTCTTGCTTCACTCAGAGATTATTGAAGAATGTTTCATTTTGTTTCCAACACACAGAGATGTTAACACTGTTTGACAGCAGAGTCAGGTGAGTTTCAGAAGGTTCTAGAATCCCTGGAAGTTTCTGTGTGTTGTCCCTGGCTGAGGCCTCACTTAGTCTCCTTTGGGAAGGCTCCTGGGAGAGTGGGTGCCAGGGCAGCATACACACTGGCTTTTGCTGGGAGGGCCCCATCCTGGGAGGAAGGAGGTGAATCTGGTCCCTCTCTGAGCATCCAGTTGCACAGCTGGGCATAGGTCACATCTTGGGTTTCCTCATGTGCAGCAGCCTTAAGAAGAGAAGAGGATAGAGAGAGAGAGAGAGAGTGGGAGTTCTTATTTGGTGCTTCAAGAAGCACAGGACCCACCTGAGCATCTATCTGTCTGTCCTTCTCTGCCTGTCCATCCTTGGTGGCCAGGAGCTTCCCCAACAGGGTTGAAGAAGGGGAAACCCTCTCCTTCTGGGTGCTGAGCACTTCACCTGAGCATAGATCCTACACTGGGGGTCCTCATCAGGTGGGCTATGCAGTAGGCACAGAGACAGAAACTGGGTGTCCTTGGTTCCTCCCTAGTTTCCTGCAGCCAGGTTGCCACACCATGGCCAGAGGTATCCTTCAGAAACTAAACCAGACTCTGTCCTTTCCCCATACATTTCAGGGGCTCCCTAAGGCTTGGAGGGTCTAACCATTTTTTTTCCTGGGGTGCTGCCCTTGCATTCCCACACTCTGATTCTGCTAGCAGGGCTGCACTACAGGATTCATCTTCCTGAAGGAACCCATTCCTGCCTCAGGAACTTTGCACTTGCTATCTCCTCTGACTGCAGTGCTGGCACATTAGAGGTCCATCTGACTCTTTGCATGAAGGCTTCTGCTCACTGGTCAGCTTACCAAAGTCCTCCCCATGATTATCCCTGGCCGTCCTGCTGTTCTACCCCTTTCTCTGCTTTATTTTCTTTCACAGCTCTGTGCTATCCTGACACTGGCCTCTCTCTTCCAGGTGATTCAGGGTGGGAGGGGGCTGTGCTCTTTGCTGTGTCTGTAGCCCCCATGGAGCCAGATCAGGAGGGAGCCTCCCATGAACGCTGCATGAATGAAGGAGGGGTTCTCAGGTGTGTGGAGTGGCTCATTTGCTTGGGGTACTTCTGAGACCAGTGAGCAGGAAACAGCCAGACACAGGCTGAGGGCCAGGAAGGGGACAGAGGGAGGGGACTCCAAGGTCACAGGAAACCAGCAGATGGGTGGGGTCACAGCAGCTAGAGACCAGGGCTTCCAGAAGGGAGGGCTCAGCTGTGAGGTCCCTGAGAGCTGAGTGGTGCAGGACAGAGCAGTGTCTCTGGACTAATCTGGGAGACAAGAAGTCCCTGTGCCCTGGATGAGGCAGGGTCTCACCCCAGCATCCAGGTCCACTTGGTCTTCAGGCTTTGTGTCCTTCACAGTGGCATCTGCAGAGACAGAAGGAGTCACCACCTGGCCAGAGCTCTGGGGTCTCTCAGCCACTAGGCCCTGTCTTGTCCAGCTGGGGACACAGAGCCAGGCAGCTGCGTGATGTCCCCAGGCCCACTATTTCAGGATTCAGTCAGAGTCAGCCCTGAGCTCCAGCCTTCCCTGGCCCTGTTTGGCTGAGACTTTGGGGCATCTCCCACCCTGCACTCCTCTTCCTCTTACAGAGGTTTTCTTCTTGGATGGCAGTGGCTAGGCTGGAGCTGGGGACTTCTGTGGGTGTCAGATGGCCATGAGAGTGGCAGGCAGGAGAGTCAGGGTTCTCGGGCAGGAATGACTCCTTCTGTAGTCTTCTGTTCTTGGGCACTGGCCCTACAGCCCCTGCATGACATGGGAAGTCACTCTTCTCTGAGCTGGGAGATGGACAGGACAGAGTATTGGCCAGGAGATCAGAACCACCTGGTCTGCAGGCGATGCAGGGCAGGAAGGAGGCCTTGGACACCACGGACCAGGGAGCCAATGAGGCCTGAGGTGGAGAAGCCCAGACCACACTGGAGACTCCCATAGGCATGGGCCCCTGTGCTCTATGCCATATTCTCTGATTTCATGTTCTGCAAATGGGTACCTAATCTCAATTTCCTCCGTCAGATTGGTCTCTTGGGCCAGTCCTGGGCTTGGGCCATGGAGGACTCACAGCCTCCTGAGACCCAGGTCACCCTCTCCCCACTCACCTGCCTTCCTGCTTTTGTCCTGACGCCAGTGTCTGAGGCCAAAGATGAGGAGGAGGGGCAGCAACAGCAGGAAGGTGGCTACCAAGACCCCAATCAGAATCTTCAGGTGCCTTTCCAGTCCTTGGTGAGGAAGTCAGTGAGGGAAAAGCAGTGGTGACTTTGGGAATATGGCATGGCAACCCTTGGTGGGGGTTTTACCATGAGCCAGGCCCATGCAGGGTTGTTGGACTCCTCACCTCCGACCCTCATAGCTGTGGGATGTGTGATTGCCACACACCTGGACAATGGGCCGGGAAGGATGCTGGAGCTGAGAGAAGCCATCAGCTCCCAGGTCCCCCAGCAGGAAGAGGCAGTCCTGGGGATTGGACCTGCAGGCTCCCATTTCCCACTTTGTGATCTGAGCCCCCTGTGATGCGGAGATCACTTCTGAACCACCTGCCGTGGCCCCGCATCCCCATCTGCATACTGTCACTGTCACTGCACAGAGGGACAGGATCATGGCTTGGGATCCTGAGGGCTTCCTTGGGAGACCAGGCCACTCCTCTGCAGCTTGGGAAACTGAGGCCCCCACAGGAGATGGTATGAGGCTGCCTTTCCAGAGGAAGCTGCAGCCCCACAGCTCAGCTCCTGCCCTGGATGCCTCCCAGCAGGGCCCTCACCATGCCCAGCTGGTGCTCCTGATGTTGTGGGGCTTTGTGGTGAATCATCAGGGTGTCCTGGGGTGGAATGGGGAGGTGAGGGGCTGAATTACCTACTCCACATTTCCCTGAATGCTCTACACCAAGGTTCGACCCCAGCACTTGTACCCTTAACCTACCCTCAGGCTGCCACCCAGATTCTGAGCTCTGGGGGCCTGGCTTGTTTGTTTACATCTCTATCTGACCCTCAGACCCATGGACAACAGTCTTCTTGGGTTGGAACTAGGACTGAGATTGGCCAAGAACCCTCAGGACAAGGCCACTACCATGGCCTTGTACAACCTGTCCTCTGTACAACCTGGACAAGGCTGAGATTCCTGCTGTGGCACTCCATGCTGAGGGTGAGGGTATGGAGGATCTTGGCAAGGGGCAGGTCAGGGGCTAGAGCTGGCCCTAAAGTTCCCGTATTCACTCACTCTCCTCCACCTGACCGGTGGCCTCCCTGCAAGCCTCCCACTGCCCACTTGGAACCTCAACCTGCCAAGTGATGTGGTGCAGTGATCGTGTCAGAGAGGACCCAGCTGCTCTCCTCCCTGAGGGAGGCTTCCTGCTATGGCTGACCTGCTATAGGGTGCTGAGCTCCGATCTCAGCCAGAGCTGTCCTTGGAGTAGGACCAAAAGGACCTGTGCCCAGACTGATGGTGTCCAGGGTGCCTCACCTGAGACCACAAGCTCCACAGTGTCACTGGGGTGTGAAAGTAGATATGGAGATGAGTCATGAGAGCCATAGCACCTGTAGATCCCCTGGAGGCTCAAGCTCGCAGCTCCCAGGAAGAATTCTGCCTGGGACTGTTGAGCTCGGGACTCTGATCTCAGATGCAGTGGAGTATCAGCTGCCCCCTCCTTGGACAGAAGGAAAGTGTCCATTGGAATCTGTGACTGGCACAGCAGGGTCACGTTCTCTCCTGTGGACACTGTGGGTCCTGGCTGCACCCAGAGGGATGGTGTGACAGGGAGCTGTCCTGGAGAGAAGGAGGTGGTAAGGGGCTGCCCAAGCTTGTTTTGAGCTGGGACCTCAGCAGGGTTGTCTCAGAGGTTCCTCTCTGTCTGTCTCTGTTTTTTCTGACTCTGCCCCTTCTGTCCTCCCCTGTCTCTCTGTCTCCTCCTTGAAACCCCACCCTCTCCCTGGCCATCACCTTGGGTTCCCCCATCAGGGTCTGTGCAGAATCCGGGTGTCTGACTGAGCCCTGGGTGCCTTACCTGTGATCAGGATGTCTAGAGGGTCACTGGGGGCTGACCACTCAGAGGAGAGGCTGTGTCCACCATAACATCTGTAGCGGCCTCCATGGGAGCTGCTCCCAGGGCCCAGGTGGAAGTGGGCGTGAGAGAACCCAGCCAGGGCTTTCTGGCTAGGGTGCTGGAGAAGGTCACCTGCCCCCTCCTTGGACAGGGTGAATCTGTCATAGCTGAGGTCAGAGCGACACTGGAGGGTCAGGTTGTATCCAGGTTCCAGGACAGGGCCCTGCTGTGTCAGGAGGGAGGGTTTCCCAGACAGTCCTGGAGAAAGGAGAAGTCAGAATGAGTGGTTGCTTCCTCCAACATCCCTGCCCTACTGTCCTTCCCTGTGAGTAACCTTGTCTGTTACACTCAAAGTCCAGTTCAAGACCTGCTCTGAGCCACTGCCAGCATGGTGTCCATTGATTTTGAGCTCTGTCAACGTGTTTGGAGAGTCAAAAGCTGTTGCACTGGACAGGACTTTCTCACCTGGGATTAGGAGCTCCAAGGAGTTACTGGACTCTGACCATGCCTGGGGTTTATTACTGTTATAGCCATAGCATCTGAACCACCACCTGTGTTTGGGGGTCACAGGGCCCAAAGTGATCAGGGCCTGGGCCTCCCCACTGGGGCCTTGCCATGAGACTTGGGTCCATGAGAGATTCTCCTTTTCATTGATCAGAACAAACTTGTAAAATCTCTGCTGTGAGCCACACTGCAGAGTCACCTTCCCTCCTGAGGTCACCACAGGGCTGGGCAGGGCTGAGAGGCTAGGTTTGCTGTAGACTCCTAGGAGAGAAGGACGCAGCCTGTGAAATGGACTCACACCTCTCACACTGTCCCCAGAGCTAGGCTGTGAGAGGGTGACACCCCTGACAGCAGACCCCTTCCTGAGGGCAGACCCTGGGACCTGGACCCTGTGTGTCCTCTCACCTGTCACCACCAGCTCCAGAGTATCACTGGACAGTGACCAGGAAACAGAACTCTTATAATAACAGTGATATCGTCCTGCAGTGTTTTCGGTCATTGTAGGAATGAAGAACTTGGCAGTGTTTGTGGGGTTTTGTGAGGTCACTGTCTTCGAGCCTGCAAATCTTCCATCTTTGTATAGATGGCACTCCTGGGCCCCCAGAGTCCACTGACACCAGAGGGTCACAGTCTCTCCCATTTTTATCAAAGATCCTGGTTCAGCCCAGAGCCTAGGTTTGGGTAGGCTCCCTGCAGGGAAATCGCAGCTTGGTCTAGGACCTTCCTCCTCCCCTTAAATCCCAGCTCTCAGCTCCAGGACCCTTCAGACCTCCCAGCAACAGCCCACACCTGTGCTCTATCCCCACCACCCAGGGGTGGCCCATGTCCCCACGAGGAAAAGACACTGGGGACACACTCACCTGCCTGCACTTGGGTCCTGGGTCCCAGACTTAGTCCTGGAAGAGAGTTCTCTGTGAGAGGTTTGCTCTAGAGTCTGAGCAGGGCCTCTGCTCCCCAGAGCCTCCTGAGCCCTGAGTCTCTGATGGACCAGGGCTTGTCTCTGGGTTAGGGTCCCTTCTATACTGGGGTGTCCCCTTCATTTTTCCCTTCTTACCTAGGCAGAGCAGGGCTGTGAGTGTGGATGTCAAGTCTTCTCCAACTGCTGACCACATCTGTGCAAGCCCCATGGACAAATGCGGTGTTGAAGCTTTAAGGCTGTGCTGTGTTCATCTATAGTTTGTCATAGCACTGCCTATGACAGTGCTATGAGCAGAACTTCCCTCTGGATCAGTGAGATCGTTGTGTTGCAAGGTCTAGGTCACGTGCAGGCAGGCATCTGACATGGGATTTTCCTTTCCTTTGAAATCTTTTTGATTAGTATTCGTCACACGAAGGGCCAAGACACAACAGCAAATAGACTTGATGTCTCCCTCAGCTGACGCCTTTCAGAGGTTGGTGGCGAGGGGTAATCCTTCCTGTCAGAACCTCCCATGGGTCTCCTCCCTTCCTCAGCCCGTCTATCTGCACAGCACAGTCATCCTCCTTTTGGCCGTCCTCTCTCAGCCCTTAGATGCTCTGGGGAAGATGCAGGTTCCTACCTTAGCTGGAGGAGAACAGAGTCACACTGATCACTGGATCTGTGTCCTGGGAATCACCATGGAGGAGAAATGCAGGGCAGCACTGCTGATTCACTTCCTGGCTCTTAGTGTGGGTTTCCTGTGCTCAACCCTCCCCATCATGGGCTTCCGTACTACCTTAGCAACTGAGTCCACTGTCTTCTCTTTAAGAAGAAATTTCTGAGCCATTCTTGCATTCTCTGTGTCCCTGTATAAAATGCATCTGAGGTTGGTGCCAGTTGATTTTAGTTTATTACTCAATTATCAATCTCCATGATGTCCTGAAGTTAGCATCTCCCACTGAGCCTCAGCTTTCTCATTTGCAATCTGTAGCTGGTCCATTACAGCTAGTGATATAATGGCCTCAAAAGTTCCTGGACATGGCAGGGAGCCTCAGCCATGATTAATTTTCAGAGCAGCAAAACCATGGGTTTGGGCAACATAAAGTCCATGATGTAAGATCATGGCCCTAAGAACATCGCTCTAAGAACTTAGGAATGGTCAGTGTACTACACCTGCAGCTTCTGGACCATCATGGTTATGAAAAGAAAGGTAGGAAGGAAGGTTCTCAAATGAAGAAGAATACAAAGAACAAAGTGGCGAGACCACTGGTGTTTCAGATTATCAAGGGGTCATTATGGACCATCTTCTCTGTTGTGGTGTAAGTACAGCTGGACACAGGCAATCCCACTGTGCGTAGGAAAAACTGCTGTCAATCCCAGCCAGGCCACATGTACAGAACAGCTTCTGAGCTCTGTGTCTGGAACCTACAGTAGTGCTGTCTTCAACTTTCTCCTGAGAACTCAAGAAGGTTTCTGATAGGATGACCTAGAGCTGATATCAGCCTGGGGGGTGGAAAAGATGTCCACAATTGTGCCCTTGCCCATGTGCTCTCTAGTTCATAGTGTTCTGCTCTCACACCGTGGAGTGTGCTACTTTTCCTGTTTTCAATTTGCATAGCCCAGCTGTATAGAGCATGTTTTTGTCCTGCCTTCAGGAAGTATAAAACTTTACTACATATTTGGGCTTGTTTTATCCAATTCTTTGCTCTAGGTGATAAGAACCTAGAATGAATCTCTGGAAGTTGAGTCCCCAGAACCCTAGGGAGGAGTAACAAGTTCAGGACTGCAGGTGAGTGTGGAAAGCTGTGTTGCTCCTCTCCCAGATTTACAGATGGACGCTGAGGTCTCAGATCACTGTCCAGAGACCCTGGTCAGTACTGAGCTACCTCTCCGTGTAGGTACAGTACCCCAGTGTTGTCATACACAGGCCTCACGTGTAAGCATGAGCCTTAGGCTTGCACTGGAACAATCCCTGCAGCATAACCTCAGGCAGGGCATATGCGGGAAGCATGGACAGTGCAAGGAAGTAGCAGCTGCAGCTTCCTCTCTCAGGATTTTTTGTTTTATTTTTATTTTAAAGAGAATAAAATCAAAGAAAATTAAACAGAATAAAGCCAATCAAAACAGAACAATGAGAGTGATACAGGACTTCAAAACACGACAATAGGAAATAAACAATGGCTAACATAATTCCCACTATCTTCACAATAACTGCCCATACCATAAGACATAAGATCAAACAAAACAAAACAATGGAAGTGACACAGTACTTCAAAACAAGATAATAGGAAATCAACCATGGTTAACATAATATATCTTGTTATCTTCAAAATAGCTTCCCATGCCATCAGACATAATAAAATCAAACAAAACAGAACAAAACCAAACAAAACCAAGCCATGAAAATGATACAAGACTTCAAAATAAGATAGTAGTGAATTAACAATGGCTCCCACCTTCTCTTCCTAGACAGTTCCGCCCCTTTCACTTTCACAATATCGATTGCACAATTTGGATCCTACTAACTCCTTCAGATTTTTATACTAGGGAGACAACATGGTGTTCAGCCATGTGAGTCCAAACCATTTCACCCAAAAACATGACCTCACCTTGCATCCATCTACCTACAAGAGCCTTGCAATTATCCTTCTTTAGAGTTGAGTAACTTTCCACTGTACAAAGATACCATATCTTTCTTATCTATCCTCAAGTTGCTGGGTGATTTACTCATGCTTTTTTTCTGGGTCCTCATTGCACAAAGCATTGTTTTCTCCTCTCTAACCTTTATCTATGAATTTCTTTTTGATTCAGATGTGTTTCTTGTATACAGCATATTAGTGGATCCCATCTCTTGATTACTCTGTTTCTTTTTATTTGTGAACTAAGGCCATCTACATTATGTTTACCACTGACACGCACTGGATTACAACTGCCATGCTATCTTCCTGCTGTTGGCTGCCCATTTTTCCCCTCCATTCAACTGCCTGCCCTGCTTGATGATACCTCCCTGCCACTGTTCTTGGAAATGTGGTCATCTTTATCTATCTCTCTCTATTCTTCAGTACTTTTTGTAGGGTTGGTTTGGTGGTCATGAATTCCTTCAGTTGTTCTTTGTCATGGAAGTATCTTATTTCTTCATTAATTTTGAAAGAGTTTTGCAGGATACATCAGCCTGGATTGGAAGTTGTTTTCCTTTTTGCTTTTGGTACCAGGGATTGTCCTCATGACCATGCACTTACCAGGCAAGCACTTTACCATTGAGATATATCCTTGGCCCTGAAGTTATTTTCTTTCAAGACTAGTAACACTTTATTCCAAACTCTTCTTGACTTGATTGTTTCTGTTGAGAAATCTGCCATGATTCTTAAGGGTTTTCCTTTATATGTGATCTGTTTCTTTTCTCTAAAAGCCTTTAATATTCTGTTCTTATAGTTCATGGGTTGTGGGGAGGAGAGCAGGACATCGAGAAGCCAAGCTCTTCCTGGGAGTAGGTGCCATGCTCAGGCCACAGGGCGAGCCAGAGGCCAGTCCTTTCTTGTGAGTTGACATCATTCATGGGCCCCAGGGAGGAGAAAAAGAAGCCAAGAAGAAGCCAGTCCCCTCCTGGAAGTTGACTCCATGTGTGGGCCATGGGGAAGAGAGCCAGATGACAGCTCTTTCCTGTGAGTCAACACCATTTGTAGCCCACAGGGAGGAGAACCAGATACCAGACCCTTCCAGCACATGGGCTTGGAGACAAGAATAGGCAAGGTCCACGACTTTCCTCTCCCCGACTCATAAGCAACCAACCAGCTGATCTGGAGAAACATAGGCTGAAATGATAGCTATTGAAGTAAAATACAGTTTAATGCTTGTAATATTTGGTGTTTCATTGCATTTGCAGAACTAAAGCTAGTAATCTGATCATCTCTTTAGAGGATAACAATATGCAATATAGCATCTCTGGGGAATCTCCTGAAGGTGGTAGCCATTGTTAATTCCATATTATCTTGTTTAGTCCTATATTGTTTCATTGTTTTGTTTGCATGTATTTTATTCTGTTTTGTCTTGTTTGATTTTATTATAGCCAATGATATGGGCAGCTATTTCAAAAATAACAAGATATATTATGGCAGTCATTTTTAAAAATTTTATTTTAAAGAGAGTAAAACTAACATAATAAAGCAGAACAAAGAAGATCAGAAGAAAACAATGTAAGTGACACAGATTTGAAAGCAAGACAACAGGGGCTCACCACTGGCTATGATATTGCCTTTTGTTTTCTTCAAAATAGTTGTCCATATCTTTCCACACAATGAGTTCATACAAAATAAAATAGCATTAAACTGATGAGAACAGAATGATGAAGGCATTATAGGTCTTATAGGGGAGTCTACAATGGCTGCCATAATGTCTTGTTCTCCTCAAAATGACTGTCTATACCTTCATGTATGTTGAAATTGAACAAAACAAAACAGACTAAAATCACTCTGAACAAAGAATAATAGTATTGGTGGATTTCACAGCATAATGTTATGGGAATCAGCACTGGATGCCATAGTGTATATTTTTTTTCAAAGTAGCTGTTCATTTCACCCTGCATTATATAATTGATTGTCATAAACTGTTTAAGAGAAGTTTTACTCATGTATGAGTCTCTACATGTATACCTATCCTTTCTGTATGAGAGACAAAAACAAAACAAATTCCTACAAAAACATGAAACAAAAAAGAGAAATAAATAACAATATCAAAGAGCCCAAAACACTGACAATGTGGGCCTTCAAAACAAGGTGGTAGGAGCATTACTGGGGTTGTTATTTTACATAATGATCTTCAAGAGTTCCTCAGATCACCATACAATAATATGTACAATTGTTATAATCCTATGAATGTTAACTTTTTGTTCCAAGAACTTATAGAATTTTTAGCACAATCATCATAGCTATCCTAAGTGTGTTTATATAATTTTAGATATTTTCCCTTCCTTTTTCCCCATTTCCCTGAGATATTATTTTTCTCCTCTAAGCAAATTCTTATCCTTTCACTGTATTTATTAAAGACTTTTTATCTTATGTACTCTTACTATTTCTTACACTAGAGAGACTATATGGTATTTACACATATGAATTTGATTTATTCCATTTATGAGCATGGTCTTGAGTTGCATCCATTTACTTATAAATATCTCAATGTGATCATTCTTTATAGCTTATTAGTAGCCCATTGTATAAAAATACCACATCTTTTTTATCCATTCCTCAGCTGATGGGCATTTAGGTTTTTTCTAAGATCTGGCTACTATAAATTGTGCCACTTATAAACATGGGTGCACATATGTCACTGTAGTATGATGTTTTCAGTTTTTCTGGGAATATTTCCAGAAGTGGGATAGCTGGGTCAAATGGTACTTCCATTCCCAGCTTTTTGAGGAACCTCCAGACTGATGTCCACAATGGTTGCGCCGGACTGCACTCTCACCAACAGTGCAGAAGAATTACTTTTCTCCCTCACCTTCTCCAACATTTGTTTTTGGTAGTTTGATCCTGGCCATTCTTTCTGGAGTGAGATGGAATCTCAGTGTTGTTTTAATTTGCATTTCTCTAATGATGCTGAACATTTTTTTCATGTATTTACTGCCATTTGTATTTCTTTATCTGAGAAGTTTGTATTCATCTTAGATGCCCATTTTTTAATTGGGTCTTTGGATTTCAGGTGTCTGATTTTTTAATCTCTTTATATGTTCTAGAAAGAAA